AACGCGTCATAAGGCCGAACGAAACGTCACTTCCATCCGTTCATGTTGTCAAATGTTGGTATAACCTGGCTTGTTTTTGTTGTTTTGGGTCGGATTTTGTAGCTGGTTAAGTGTTAACTGATGGGCATTACCCTGGTCGCTAGTGAACTGAACCCATTATTAACTGTGAGGATAATCCTTCTAAGAGTGGTCATTATTTTGTTACATGCCTTAACCCGCGCCCCATAGGGCTATCGGCGGACCCTACCACCCGTAGGGGGGGGGGGGGCCGCTTCGGCCCCCCCTAAGATCTCGGAAATTTACCGGCCGATTTTCAAAATTCAAATGGCGTTCGATAGCACCACCGGCGAATTACCTTGTGATCTAGGTCCTAGGTCAATTGACCTAGGTCAAACTGATGACGTCACAGGTCAGGTCAAAGGTCGGATTTTCACCGTTCACAGACATTTCAAGAAATGTGTTGTGAAATCGAGTAGATTGGTAAGTTATTGAAAACCATCGATGGTACATTGTTCGTCAAACACATACTTCGCAATCTGAGGTCACTGATACCAGGTCAGGTCACAGAGGTCAGGTCACTGGGGGTCACTGGGGGTCACAATATGAAAGTGTCGTGTGATACATGTTTTATGGTCCATTTTACATGACAAATGCGATTATGTGGGTCAGGCAGCCTTTGGGGCCAGCTTAGGTCACGTTTTGGTGAAGGTCAGGCCAAGGTCAAGTCAAATTAGGTCAAATTTCAAAGTTGATAGTTTTGCATTAAATGGGTATCAGTTCGATGCAGCTCGTCACGGGGAGTCTAATGGTGGTCTTTGTTTTGCTCTACGTGGTCTAGAATTGCCAAAAATTGAGTTTGAAAATTTGACGTCATCATTTTTGAACAGTTTTTTTTTTCGCTATAACTTGGCCAAAGACAAGATGTTGATCTGAAATTTGGTATGTAGATAGAAGACGGTAGGTACTATCACATATATTCCGTTTTTTTCGAAACTCAAAAAACTTTTTGGATTTTTGGGCAAATATATTAAAAAAATTGCTTTTTCGATTTTTGGGGGTCAAAACTAAAAAATTTCAAAAATCCGAGATACCAGTTTTGTAGCCCTGTCAACTCTACACCTTTAATGTTTTGATCATTTTTCTGTATCTTCAAAGCTGTAGGCCTGACAGCTCTTCTCGCGAAGGTCTTTTTTCGGTCGAAAATGGCAGAACATGACGTCATTCTGACGTCATTTGTGGCCAACCTATCATAGACTCTGAAAAATTTTTGATCACAATGTGTAAAATTGATGCCCGGAGGGGTCCTGAAAGTTTGGTGGCGATATCTCCAGCCGTTTAGGAGATATCGACGGAAAAGGACAGGGGGGGCGTTTCACCCCCCTACGGGGCGCGGGTTAACCTTCCAGGTGGTGGGGGGGCATTTTTTTGCCCCCCCCCCTTTAGTTTTTTCGATATATCTCGAGAACCGCTGCGCCGATCGTCACCAAACTTTCAGTACCCTCCCGGGAGTAGCTAGCGCACATAGTGACCAAAATTTTTCCAAAGGCTATGATAGGTTGGCCGCTAATGACGTCAGAGTGACGGCATTTCTGCCATTTTCGACTCAAAAAAAGGTTTCGCGGGAAGAGCTGTCAGGCCTACAGCTTTAGAGATACAGAAAAATGTTTCAGACATAAAAGGTGTGGAATCAAGAGGGCTACAAAACTGCTATTTCAGTTTTTCGAATTTTTTGGACTTTGACCCCCAAAAATAAAAAATAGATTTTTTGAATATAATAGCCAAAAAATCCAATTTTTTTTTGAATTTCGAAAAAACCGGAATATATGTGATAGTCCCTACCGCCTTTTATCTACATACCAAATTTGAGATCAATACCTCTTTTTCTGGCCAAGTTATAGCGAAAAAACTGTTCAAAATTTATGACGTCAAATTTTCAAACTCAATTTTTAGCCATTCTAGACCTCATAGCGCAAAACAAAGACCACCATTAGACTCCCCGTGACGAGCTGCATCGATTTTATGCAAAAATATAAACTTTGAAATTTGACCTTTGTTGACCTGACCTTGACCTGACCTCCACCAGAAAGTGACCTAAACCGTACCTGATGGTCTTATAACCAACACCATTGAGTTGAAAATGAAAAACTGGCCATAAAACATGCATCGCACAACCTTAGTAAAGTTGGGTTCATGTGGTGACCCTTGGTGACCTTTGGTGACCTGACCTGGTATGACCAGTGACCTCTAGTAGCAACATATGTACTAGACAACTGACGCCTTATCGCTGATTTTCGACAAAATGTGTTTTTCTCGGTGTTATAGAATATAGCGTTTTCCCTAGAAGCCCCGTGAACGGTGAAACATTTTATCTTTGACCTGACCTGTGACGTCATCGGTGACCCCGAGGTCAATGAAATTTGGTTTCCTTCAACAAATTTGACAGGGCTATTGAACGCCGTTTGAATTTTCCGGATCCGTCCAGTAGTTTCGGAGATACGGGGGGGGGGGCAAAAAAATGCTCCTCCCCACCGCGCGGAAGGTGGCCGGGAGGCCCACCGCCTGCCGGGTTAAGTACTATAATTGTTGAATAATGATAGGAGGTAGAATTAAACTAGTTCATATCCTTTTTACTTGTATCTGTTAACACGCAAACAGCATCCGGCAAGAAAGTAGCAATGTTGCTAATGGCGATACGGGAGGTGGCAATAGCCTTCATCGACATTTGTGTTATCGACATAGCTTTGCTCAATTATTGTGCTGCTACCAATTGCGACCGACAGTAACGGATACAAAAAACGACATATCCGCTCCTAGTTCCTTGCAATTTGCTGCAGTTCCTTCATTGTATTCGTCCGAATCGAGCTGCCATTCCCGTCTGGATCGGGCTGCCATTCTCGGTCAGGCTAGGCCGGGTTGCCCTTCTCAGTCTTCCCGGGCTAAGCCACCTCATCAGCCGAACCTGGCTTCCTTCTCGGTGGCTCGGTGCTCCTGGGCTGGGCTGGGCTGGGTTGGTCTCTCTCTCTCTCTCTCTCTCTCTCTCTCTCTCTCTCTCTCTCTCTCTCTCTCTCTCTCTCTCTCTCTCTCTCTCTCTCTCTTCTCTCTCCCTCTCTCTCTCTCTCCCTCTCTCTCTCTCTCCCTCTCTCTCTCTCCTATCTTTCTCTCTCCCTCTCCCTCTCTCTCCTATCTTTATCTCTCTCTCTCCCTCTCTCTCCTATCATTATCTCTCTCTTCTCTCTCTCTCTTTCCCTCTCTCTCTCTCGGTCTCTCTCTCTCTTTCTCTCTCTCTCTCTACCTCTCCCTCTCTTTCCCTCTCTCCTCTCTCTCTCTCTCTCTCTCTCTCTCTCTCTCTCTCTCTCTCGGCCGATTCTCTTGGTACGCCCGGCACGGCGGCGCTCACGTGCCGCCGAGATCCCGCCCGAGATGGACGGGTGTGATAACAGTGTCAGCAGGACACCACCTGCCCCCGTGACACGAGCTGACGATTACGATATCGGACATTTAAACCGCACCTCTGACCGGTCACAGCGGATATTTAAACCGCACCTCTGACTGGTCACAGAGGACATTTAAAGTCGTGTTTCTGACCGGTCACATTGGACATTTAAACTGCACCTCTAACTGGTCAGAGAGGACATTTAATGGCATGTGTCTGACAGGACATTTAAACTGCACCTCTGACTGGTGGGTGCGGATAGTAAAATTTGATCCCATGCTCGTCGCTGCAATCCGGAACCCATTGACCTGAGAAAAGTAGCAGGTTTGATCGCCCGCCCCGGGCAAACCAACAAAAATTCAAATCACTCCGGCAAGCCCACCGAGTATTAAAACTTGCTTGGATCCTATATAGGGCCTTGGCTTGGATCTGTGGCTGCTAAGATAATCCTTACTTATTGGATTCTAAATAAGTATTATATCGAAAATATGTAATCCCAGACATATCTACCGATATCTTGTGATATGCGTAATAAAATATGTTATTGTAAAACAGCTGTTGAATGTACAGGCTAGCAAAGAAAATATCGTCTGTCGACAAAATCTCAGCTCTCCATCAAACCACCAGTCCTTTCATTTGTTCCCTCCAGATACCACTATGACTGGTTTTACGCAGCTGGGTGATGTCACAGCTCTCCCCGAATGTTAAAGCGGTCCTCTAATGCCCGAGACACGCGTCGGGTCGGGCCAGGTCGCCCTGGAGTTGGCACCTGCCTTTCTGACCGGGCCCAGTCGACAGCTGTGGTTCCATGTGGGTCACGGAGTGGTGACACGCCCGGCCACACCTGCCCGTCAGCCGACTGAACGCCTTGGAGCGTTGATTGGGCGCGACTCATGGCTACCGAGCGTAGGGAAGAATGGTGGTCCCTGATGCTGGTGAAAGGTCACTTCTCACTACCGCTATGTTCAGTTGAATGTTATACATTTGTTATTCATGTGTTACGCATCACCATTGGTGAGAGCTGACTATTTCCATAATTCGACAGTAAAGCAAATAGAAAAAAAAACATATTAGTTGATAATGTTTCCAACTAAAGAAACGGCATTATATTGTAAAAGAGTTCATGCAAATCGAAAATTGTTAGAAAAAGTACGAATAATATGTGTTTTTAAAGACCATCGCAAACGATTCCTCACTCCGCTTGAACATTTCAGGATGATAATCAGTGCTGAGAGCGACTTTTGGCCGGCAAGAGCTCCACCAGCGGATGAGGCAGACTTCCCACAATTCAGAAACATAAGTCCACTGCAAGAGCAAAGGCATCTCGATCCCTCTGCTAAATATCAGGCCGTTTGGTCGGGTCAGATATTGTGCCCATCAAGAAACACTACATTCGAACAGGGCTGATTTCGGGCGGTGTCCAATGCTCTTGGCTTATCATTGGCGATGAATGGTGATGACCAATAGTGATGGTCGTCTGTGACCAATGGTGTCAGCATGCAGTAACCACTGGACACTGGTGACTGGCCGTTGATCGGCTCAGCCGTCCATCACCATCAGACGAGCTATGAAGGACAAGTGTAAGAACGCGGCGCGTAGCCGTCGAGAGAAGGAGAACTCGGCGTTTGAGCAGCTGAGCCGACTGCTACCTATCAGCTCAGCGGTCAGCAGTCAGCTGGACAAGGGCAGCACAATTCGACAGACCATCAGCTTGCTGCGTCTGCACAACATGTATCCGGCTGGTGAGTACAGGATGTACTGTGCTGTGCGGTTTTGTAATCGGACCCGTCTTTGGTACTTTCAAATCGTTCTGCGAACAGTGTCTCCTCCAACATTGAAGGGTGAGGGGCCGTAGAGAGCAAGGTGTATCGATAATATGAATAATAGCAAAATAAGTCATAAAAATTATAATGACAAAACACTGGATACTCGCATTCTCGGCTGAAAAATAAGTGGTCGACCAAGACAGACCAAATTATTTTAGAAACCGGCGCTTGAACGCAGTCGTCACTTTCTACTATTGCATTAAAAAATTGTTTCAGTGATGCTTTAAGGAGTGATATTCTTTAATGGAAAACCTACTTAGGTCGAACCATTTGCTCGTTCTGTTGGACAAAGCAATAAAATTGTACAGCAAAGGCAATCAAAGGGTTAACCCGCGCCCCGTAGGGCTTTTCCTGGAGCCCGATACTATGCATCTGTCCAGTGATTCACGAAAATTGTCATAGCTATCTCCCGGTCACATATTGCGCGAAGACCTACCGCTGCGTCTCCAGATCCCTCATCTTGATATGATGCAACAGTAGCAACATTTCTTGCACGCCAATTGGCTTTGACTTTGGGCTTCAACTATTCAGTGCCCCACTTGGGTCTTTGAATGCAAAAGAAGGACATTTGATTTCAAATTTAGGTAATTTGCCGATGGCACAACGCTCAGTGGCCTGATGCTGTCAAATTATTAGGTATATGTAAAGCTATTGGTCAATAACAGAACTATAATTACACATAAACAAAGACCATTACTCAGAACACTTCAGTCATCACTATTACAAGCACGCACTACTGTGGATATCCGCCGATCTCCTGTTTATCTTTTCATCCATCGGAAGCCTCACAATTATTTGTCACCAAACATCTGCTCGAGAAATACAGTGGGACAGCAGCTCCGACACATCGCCTTCCAGCACAGCGTCATAATGAGATCTAAATTGACACGGGTGAGATAGCCGCGCGATACGCCGAGGGCCGGCGGTCGGTGCTGCGATGTCGGCAGATATCGGGCCGCTCGAGCCGCGGAGAGCGGGACGGGCCGGAGAGGCACGCGCGGCAGGTGGGCAGACACACAGACACACAGACACACAGACACACGGCCGGCGCCGCGATCGGCCAATAAACGACTGGACAGGTGCTTGCCCGACTGGCCGGGCAAGATACGGTCCGCGGCAGGAATTTGTCCTGTCTGACATTACATTCGAGCTGTCCCGCGGACCGAATGCCACGCGGTAGGACACGGAGAGGTGGAATACTGAGCTGGACACTATCGCGACAGATATCTGTTGTGTGAAACAACAGCGGCGGTGTCTCAGGACAGCTTGACGAATCAATTCAACAATAGTACTTAGCAGTGCAAGAGGTCTCGTCGACAGCACCAGGGCACACGAAAGGTCAACTTGACCCTTCGTTTTTTTTTTTACCTTTCGTAGATTTTTAGCGTGCCGGCACCGAACGTTATTGAATAACGTTCGGTGCCGGCACGCTAAAAATATATTACAATCGACCAAAGAGCTAGCCATTTCGCAAATTGTGTGTCATAGTATTTCACTTAATCTTTCCCTCCTTTCTTACCTCCCTTACTCCTTCACTCCATGTTTCTTCCCCATCCTCTCTCTCTCTCTCTCTCTCTCTCTCTCTCTCTCTCTCTCTCTCTCTCTCTCTCTCTCTCTCTCTCTCTCTCTCTCTCTTTTTACCTTAGCATATTCAGTCCTGGCCCTCTCACCTCACACAGCCATATTGTTTCCGGCTTTGTTAACACTGTTAACCGATCTGTTTACTGCCGCAGCCAAAGAGCTGAACCGTCTGGAATGTCCAACAACGGTCAAAGGAAGCGAATTTTTGTGCGTTACCGTGGCAGTCAGAAAAAAAACATGGACACTATGACCTTATGAAATGGAGCAGTTAATGCCCAGACCGAAGCACCAGCAAACAAGTTGACGAAGTTAATGTGCTACGGATTAAACATTTGCCTTATAACCCATGCCTAGTGTTAGCAAGAAGGTAGATTTATAAATTGTTGATCTGGTGGTAGGTGGCTCACAAGCACCAATTAGCTCAGAATTTAGAATAATGCATAAAATAGTGCTATTTTATGCATTATTCTGAACTCTGAGCTAATTGGTGCTTATGAGCATGTCCCTGCTCAGGGACATGCATACATGTGCAATGTGCATTTCCGTTTGACGCCACCTCTATCCCCGCTCGTTTAGTTGTTCGCTATTCCCCCCCCCCCCCCCTGCCACTTGTGTCAATCCGCAACACAATCCTGTGTCCATGACGTCATAGGTAGTGGCGCGGCGGCCGGACGCCTTTTGTTCAGACTGTGACATTGTGACAATGGCGTCACCCTCCCTCCCCTCCCCCTCCCTACCCGTGTCGGCAGGGCTGGGGAGCGCCTGGGGCTCCTCTCCGTTGGACCAGGGCGACTTCAGAGAGCTCGGCTCGCTGCTATTGCAGGTGAGGGCTTCAAGCCGAGGTGGGGTTGAAGGGGAGTGTTTTAATTGTTAGCCTGGATGGCGGGATGGAACTGCGCGATATTGCGAATGTCTGCCTTTGAGGAAACAGAAGAATTGCCTGCTGGTAATTTGATGGTCTAAAGCACACAATAACGATATTTTTTGCCAGCTATACAAAGGTATCATGCATTCTATGAAACGAGGTCATGTGACATTTTGATGTTATAGTCAAAAGATATGTATAATGCTCAATAGAAATTGCTGGGTTTGTGATGATTTATCTGTTTGTGTTGTTTCAGACGTTGGAGGGGTTTGTTTTCATCGTGTCCTCTGACGGCACGGTCATTTACATATCGGAGACGGCATCCGTCCACCTCGGCTTGTCACAGGTCAGTCCAAACTCACAACAGTCTACATTAGAACCGTCACATCACAGGTCAGTCCAAACTCACTACAGTCTACAGCAGAACGGTCACATCACAGGTCAGTTCACAATCACATTTTAACGGCCACATCACAGATCGGTCCACAATACATACAAAGGTCAAAGACCAGACCACACTTCACATTTTAACCCGCGCCCTGGTGTGGAGGTGGAGGGGGTATTTTTTGCACCCCCCCCCCCTCCGGACTTTTAGATATATCTCCAGAACCGCTGCGCCGATCGACCAAACTTTCAGTACCCTCCCGGGCATCAATTTTACACATCGTTGATTGTGACAAAAAAAAAATCCGTGTGTACCTATTATTTTTAAATATGATTTTATTTGTTTGTTCTTAGTGGGTTTTCTCGGTGCGCTTCATATTTCCTTATATAATACACCTACAGCGGTCGCCGTAGGTAAGCAACCCATCTGCTCTCAGCCACTGACCGGCCGTGAAATGTGGCGTCTCATAGTGTCAGCGATGGTATGTTTACTCAAGTCAGGGGTCATTGCCATTGGGTGGCATGCCGTCAACTTCACTGTGTCTGCTTAATAACTTTGCTGGGGTCAGGGGTCGTTGCCATCGAGTCACAGGTCGTCTCCAGTCTGTGTATCCAGGCGGCCCGGTTACTGCCCCGCCCGTTCAAACACCATCGGCCTGAGTTTACCAGCTGTAGGGAAGGAGCTTTGTGCTGTGCGGTGTTCCCACGCCATACCGCACACGATGTGATGTAGATGGTGCCTTTCTCGATAATCGTCATAGCGTAATACAATTCTTATCTAATAAGAGCTTTCAAGTTGCATGAATAACAAACAATGTCAATCATGCGATCATTTTCATATCCAAGCGCAAAAACGGCTCGAACACAATGTTTCAATTTCGTACTTTGTTCTTTCTTTGCCAAGGTATTACTGTTAACGCCAGACCCCTTGAGACCCTAATTTTTCGCGATTACTTTTAAATGCGTGAAGGAATTTCAACCAAGCTCAGGACATGGCCGTTTCAAGACAGGCCGAAACTTTTACAATTTAGATATTTTATCGCCATTTCAATATTTCAGGCACTTGTCATTGACTCGTAATGTTAAATTTCGAGCAAGATTTTCATCCGGTGTGTAGAGGCTATCACCAGTCAGTCTGTGATACGTTATGACGTCACAGCTAAGCCCCGCCTCTGTGGTCTTGGCCTGCGGCGGTTTCGGGCCGGCGCGCGGTCACTCTCGCTGTGGCGGGGAGCGGGGACGGGCGACGGTCGAGCGGTGCCGAAAGCCGGCGGAGTTGTGCGTAACGTCTTGGCTGACAGTGCCCAGAGAGCGACATGATGACTAAGGAGTCATAAATGCTCAATGCGCATTGCTTCTACAATGCTGATATGTTCGCTGATATTTTTTTTTTATATGTATAAGCTGCATATGACGGGCAGATGGCATATAACTGACATAAGGTTAGGAAATATTCACCTGTATTTAAAGCCTATGGCGTTGCAGATAATGCGATAATGGGATGTCGGATGTCACCAAGTAGCTGCCGATTTGTACATCGCTATGCAACCATCGAACAACGCAATAATAAGTTAATTGCCTGAGCTTCACATCATACGGCTCGCTCGTATTTCAAACAGATACCCTACATCGAAAATCGTATTTGTTAGGAATCGTTAACGTTTGTTCGAAGCACGACTGAGTAGTAGGTTGAGGAGTGATGGTCCTCTTGGTCCTATATACAAGAGTCAACAAGAGCCTAACATTTACTTGACCGTCTGCTGCAATTGACTCATAGCACGTGAAGCGTCAGCGAAATTCATAGTCCTTCACAGATGGCAGGGGTGTCGTTTGTACAGAGGTCGCTGATGGGCACGGGTCAATGCCGCAGTCGTGGGCGGAGCCTAATGTCATATGACGTAGAAAGCCTCTATCCAGGATGGAAAAACAGTTAACATTACGAGTCAATGACAAGTGCCTGAAATATTGAAATGGCGATAAAATATCTAAATTGTAAAAGTTTCGGCCTGTCTTGAAACGGCCATGTCCTGAGCTTGGTTGAAATTCCTTCACGCATTTAAAAGTAATCGCGAAAAATTAGGGTCTCAAGGGGTCTGGCGTTAACAGTAGGTGCATGAATGGGGATTACGATATGTTCGTATTTTGTCGTGATCATAACTTTGTCAATCAAACAGCTTTTCCGACACACCGTGTAAGCACCATATTTTCCGATAATCGGCGTCTAAGGTCAGGTTGCGTCGGTCCGTGTCCTGTCGTGAGTCCGTGACTGTGGCGTGAGTTCAGCTGACCGGGACGCCGCACGGCCGCCCCCCCCCTCCCCTAACCCGGGAGACAAACCACGGCGCCGAATGCGTGAGGGGGCACTCTGCGCTCGTGAAGCCGCGCCCCCGGGCCAGCGCAACAGCCTTTCGTTGGTTCAGCCTGACCGGTCACCAGCCTCGGACAGCCCGCGGGCAGGTATATAACGACAACGTGGCTCAACTGAAGCCAGAGCAGGTCTCAACACAGCTCAAGCAGTGTTGAATTCAGAACACAAGATGAAGTGGTTGCTCCTTGCCAGTCTGTTGGCGGTCACCGCCAGACAGAGCTTCGCCGGTGGATATGGCGGTGGACATGGTGGACACGGTGGACACGGTGGACACGGCGGTGGATATGGAAAGGGCGGCCACGGCGGTGGACACAAGGGAGGTTACGGCGTGCCCACCAAGTACAAGTTCTCCTACGGCGTCGACGACCCGCACTACGGCCCCAAATACTCTCACAGTGAGAGTGGCGACGGCAAGAACGCCCAGGGCTACTACAGCGTAAAGCTGCCGGACGGCCGTACCCAGCACGTCAAGTACTACGCCGGGGGCTACGACGGCTTCAATGCCGAGGTGTCGTACTCGGGCTACGCTCACGGCGGCAAAGGTGGACACGGCGGTGGCCATGGCAGTGGACACGGCGGTGGCCATGGCGGACATGGCGGTGGACACGGTGGATACGGCGGTGGACATGGTGGACACGGTGGACATGGTGGATATGGAAAGGGCGGTCACGGCGGTGGACACGGTGGTGGATATGGCCACGGTGGTGGACATGGCGGCCATAAGGGTGGCTATCACTGAGATATTGAAAGGCCAATATTTTGATATAGCTTTACATATACTGCCAATATTTTGGCAATGAGCTAGTCTCTGTCTTCCAAGCTGTGATGGAAATGACGGTGAACTGTATCACGCACGCAAGGGCAATGGAATATCTTGTCCTTGCCAAAGGAATTCAGAAATAAATCGAACTTTAATATCTTTACCCAAACATTGCGTTTTATTTCTCTGCAAAGTAGCTATGTCTAGTGTTTTTAACGGACGCCGCTGAAAACAGGGCGCCGGAGGGCATATTAGTCACGTGACATTTAGAGCTTCTCCCCCTTCGTGGGACTTCTAAGTGCTAAACGTCACGTGTAAATTTCACGAACCTTGATCAAATCGCCCCAGGCGCCCTGTTTTCACAGTCGTCCTTTTTAACGTGCCCATATGAGCAGCGGTTTAAAGCGATAGACTAAACCTAAATACAGTTATTGTAATAAAACAAAGCACTTATTTTAACCGTGCACAGGAGATATTATGACACAAACGTCACTATCTGTGTCAATCCCTGGAGATAAACAGACGGGGTAAAACGTATTACAAACGGATTATCATCTAAATGCAATAGAAAATTCGATTATAAAGCTTATACTTCGGTCACACGTATATCATCAAAAATGGCTCAATTTTTATCGACAGCTGAGACGAAAGGTTAGAAGTATAAGATTCAACACTCACCGGCTGGTTTCGGTCCACCAGGAACCGAGCGGGCGACGTCAGCTCGCTGGAGGTGTTGCTGCGTCGGATGCCCATGGCGCCGTCAGTTTTTCACTGCAAACCACTGTTAACCACTGTAAGCCACTGTTACTCACACTGGTACACTCAACACAGCTGTCTGAGAAACAGCTCCAGACACACAAACGTCACAAACACACGGTACACAAACGTCACGCACGCACTCCGCTCCAGCGCGCCCTGACCCGACCTGACGCGGCCACTGACCGGTCAGCGGTGGTGTCACCCGGCGGGGCGGGTGGTAGCCGCCGGCACTGGACTATGCGGGATAGCATACAGCCCAGGCGCTAAGGCCGTGCGGCAAAACTAGTGACTGCGCGCGAAGGATGACGTTTCACATTTCATGATAGTCTTGAACTACAAATTAGACAATACACTTACACAATCCGCTCTTCTTCCGTAGGTCGAGCTGACGGGAAACAGTATCTACGACTACATCCATCAGGCTGATGTGGAGGAGCTGGCCGCGGTCCTGGGTCACACGCCCGGCGCCGATGACCCCCTCCAGAGCCGGCCGGCCGGGCAGGCGACAGGTAGGGTGTCTGGGTGGCACTGTCAGAGCTAGTGAAGGAAAGATAACAGTCGGCTGTGATTTTGTGCGCATGTGTGTTAAACGTGAACGATTATAGCAGCGCTTAGCAACATAATGCGCAGCACTTATTTCATTTTATACCAGAGTGAATTTCCAATTTACATATTTCCAAATCATGATCGATATTTATCTTTTCGCAGAGTTTGAGTTGGAACGAAGCTTTATCGTGCGTATGAAGTGCGTTTTGGCAAAACGGAACGCAGGTCTTACAAACCTCGGATACAAGGTAAGTGCTTTAACCGAGTTGTCTCATTACATTTGTTTGTCTTTTTATTCTGAAAAAAACTACGTTTGAGAAATCGATTATTTTTGTCACGCCGAAACAGAAACGCAATGAAAACTTCAACGCTGCTCGTTTGACCGGCAGGCCATCCACTGCAGCGGCTACCTCAAGTACTCTCCAGCGACCTCCGGGTGCCGCCGGGCAGAGACCCGGGGTCTGGTGGCCGTCGGACACCCTCTGCCCTCGTCCGCCGCCACAGAGGTCCGCCTGCACAGTAGCACGTTCATGTTCCGCGCCAGCCTCGACCTGAAGCTCATCTTTCTCGATAGCAGGTGAGTGGGTACGGGAGGGGAAGAGATATCGGTATCGCCGGGTGCCAGGGAAACGGTCACCCTGATCTGCACACATTGGTGGCGACACTATGTGCCTTGTGCACTGTGCAGGATGGTTTAGTTAGGTACTTATTGACCAGGCCTCATGCTCGTTAGATTCAAATGACTCAACCAGAAATATGACAGGCGAATGCACAGCGTGGCTATTCAAATCAGACATTTACGAAGCTCACCTCTCATGTGATATTCACATATGAGTGGTGCTTCGGTTATGCCTAAACAACTAACGGCTAACGCTATCAAACAATGGGTCAACACGTTCAGGTCCCCTAGTCGATGCAGGCCATGTCTTTGTTCTCAGCATGCACGGTCCAGACTGCGTATTACTCCGTGATGAGATTTATTGACATTGAAGTCCACCCCAGCAATATAATTGCCCCCATCTCTATTGTAACCAGCACCGTCGCGGTCGGCGCTTTGCAAAGGGAACATGCATTTACCGTTATGAACTAGGGTGGTTCGTATAGTGAAAGCGGTAGACGTTTTTTTGCTTCGCCCCAAGTGCAATATATTTAACGGTTAGCGATGAAAGTGAATTTAAGCATGACGAGTCCTGCAGCGCCACTCGATACATAATGAGAGTCGATCTTGCGCGGCGCAGGTCTCTGGTCCTATGATTCCACAGCTCTTGTGATGTCCTATAGGGCATAATCTGTTCTTCTTTTGATATTTGAATAATTATTGAAGGTATCAGAGGGATGACTCTGCTAAACATACCTAAATGATATTGCTTATGTTGCGATTCGCAAATTTATCATTCCTTCATAGTTAGTTGACGCCTGTTGGTGTTACCACTGGTCATTTTTTGATGGTATAAATCAAATTTAAGTCATACACGTCACCCTAACTCAGCCATATAAAAAGGCCGTCCGCCTCAGACCTCCAGCAATCGGAGGCGAATCTGCAAACACCGCTCACACTGACCCGCTATAAACGGCTACCCACACCCGGCCCCGCCCTGGAAGCGGTCCTATAACGGTTATATCTCTATGTGTGACACGGCTGTAACTGAGTTGTAATGTGACAATTATTTCATAAAATATGCAAGATATTACAACAAAAATTACGCGATGTTTCGTTTATTGTAACTTTTTCAAGGGTAATGAATGATTTCATGATTATCCTTGAAAAAGTTACAATAAACGAAACGACGGGTAATTTTTGTTGTAATATCTTGCATATTTTATGGGACGGCTGTAACTGTTTCAGGGTGCTAGCTCTCACCGGCTACGAGCCCCAGGACCTGATCGAGAAAACACTATACCAGTTTGTGCATCCACATGACGTCCACAGTGTGGTGCACGCACACAGGACACGTGAGTTTTGACAGTTACTCCTAAACATTTTGACAAGTTTTTAAGGAATTCTAGTGTCGTAAACTGCTATGCTACCGTTCGCAATAGACATTTACGAATGCAGCCCTCCGATCTTGCCAACTAATTGCATACCTAATTATCAATTTCCGATTAATACCGACTCCAAATGGCTATAGAATAATATCTAGAAATCTCAGAATGGTTGACCTCCCCTTGCCGTCCACCTGCAGTGTTGTACAAAGGCCAGTCGCGAACCCGGTACTACCGACTGCTGACGAAGACCGGCGGCTGGGTGTGGCTGCAGAGTTACAGCACCATCGTCCACAACAGCCGATCGTCGCGGCCGCACTGCATCGTCACCATCAACCACGTCCTCAGGTCGGTATATCGGTTGGTTCGCTGATAGTTCGCAATGATCGGTGCGTGTGATAGTCCCCCATGAATCCATTGCTCTTGGCCGAAAGTACGACTTGGTGCAGGTTGGTTTGACGGTGCATTTGTCTCGGATGTTCAAATACAAAGTTCGTATGTGTTTTATTAGGTTCTCCTCCGCCTCAAGAGCTCTGTCGGTCTATCGCCAACCATACCTCAAACTTGCCCTGCTCCTTTTCGACCCCAGCCCCATTCTTGTTCAAGGCCCTATCTTGCTTCTGACACGGACTCCTGACCGTTTACAGTTCACGCCAATCTCCACCCCCCGTCCACTCGGGCGCTGTTCCGAATCCCTCGACCTCGTCCACCCCGACTCTGTCCCAGACAGGGACACACCCATTTCAAACGGCCAAGCTGCGAGACACCGCCATTTGATCGGCGATAAGCCACGGACACGTTCAACTTCCTCCCTTCCTACTCTATTCCCCTGGCCCGCTACCGGACACTCCCATTCCCCTGTCCCAGATCACCACTGAGATAAGCAGAAAGTCGCGCTTTGTCACGAACTGAGCTAGTCATCGGACCCGTGGCCTAAGGAGTTAATAAACATCATTGGTTCATACAGCTAAGTGTGGATATCTACAACCATGAGCTGGATATAGAGCTTCTATGGAGCATGGTGTTTATTTACAGGTCGAATCTGTTATGTTGATTCCTGAATGCATGCTACAAGTCCTAAATGTATGCCACTGCCAACCAATTATTCGTGTTTCGCCAGTGGCGTGGAGGAAGACGGGACCTGTTTGGACATCCATCAGCTGGATGAACCCCCGGAGCAGAGCTACAGAGACTTCACAGTAACGCCAAAGCGGAATCGGGCTGCCGACACCAGCCCGACTGCCGACGGCAAGGGCCGGTCACCACGCCAGGCAGCGACTGTCAGTCCCGGGCTACAGACAAGGACTGGGGACCCGGGAGACGCGTACAAGGCTGAGGCAGGGTGTGCTAAAGCTCCATTTCTTGTCTCAGGGTCTGGAAGGACACCACCGATAGGCGAAGGTTCTGACGGACTGCCGATGGAGGTCAGTCCTGCAGGAAGCGGGGACCTCTACGACCCGTCAATATGTGTGGGAGGAACAGAAGAATGTGAGAGTTACAACGACGTAATCAAGTACCGGCCTGACCAGACCGACGAAAATATCCTGAATGGAGCCGCAGGGAATGGTGAGTCATTTTTTACCAGAAGAGGAGCTTTCTCTGCCTTCAGTCAGACCGAAACTGATCCGATACTCCCGTGCCATCGTTATGAGGACCGGGACAGAAGGTTGACAATGGCGACAGAGCTTTACCAGACGTTTTCCACAGTCTCAGCGCCACTTGAAGACGCCTTGTCGATGGTCACTAGGCCAATCTCACGCGAAGTCAATCTCCAGCCGCTGCCGTCACCTGAAGTGCCGAGCCCAACCCTACATCGGACATTCGTCGGCCCCGACGGTTTACACTTCACCTCAGGACTGCTAGACGAGCGCTTTGTCCCGGGCTACCCTGAGAGTCCTTACTCAGGAGCGACGGATTGCAAAGAGTGGTACGATCCGGCTCAGTACGGTGCGCACTATCGTGCTGCGGCTCAGCACCAAAGCGTGCCATACAGCGATCTAAAAAGCACAGATCCAGCTTATCCTGACACCAGGTATCACGACGTGGCATACGAAGTTGCCAGCTACCAGGGTCAATCCCCCGACAATCTACATCACCATCAGGACGTTCAACAAGTCTGCCACCTCAGACATCAGCCGTCACCTATGTTCCATGACGATTCTGAGAGCAGTCCTAAAGACCTTTCACCACCGAACGCGCTGTGCCCACCCGATCACCCGTCTCCCGAGGTGACTCCCTTGGGAAGTGAGCTTCTGACATCACCTGTCAGTCACACCAGCGTCATCGTGGACATGCAGCAGTACATGCAGAATGAGTACGTGCATTGATAACCCAATGCTGAGAAAGCTTGGCTGGAGTCCAGTGACATGGCGCCTGGAACATCTGGAACGCCTGGAACATGGCGCCTGCCTAAAACGTGCGTCCACCGATATTTCGGGGATGGCTGAAGCTATTGCTAGTCTGTTTCAGGGACTCAAAGAGTGCGAGATGTTATTACGAAATAACTGGACTGGGCAGGCGAACTTCGCACTAGCGTTTACGCAGACTCATTATAAACAGAGTGCTAGATGTAACTATGTAGGCATGCTCAAACTCAGTAAAAAATGAGACATATCAGTTATACATATCCAATGAAAGACGTCATGAAAGAGTGCCTTGCCTGCCACTTCGGCTCCGGACCGCCGAGCTGTTCGCGGACCGTTTGTGTTTGCACCGGTCAGCCTTGACGTCCGCTGCGCGCTTGTAGACCCCCTACGCTAGCGGTGTAAGTAGCGCTATAAGCTGTAACTGTGCCGAGGTTGGTGTGCTCTAGTCTTGATAAAATTGTTTGGTAATATTTGAAGTCGCTCAGGAAATCCAAATGAAGCGGTCGGCGCAACATCCACTGGCTTTTCCAGCATGCGTGAAACGCCGAGTGTTTTTCTATCAACTTGCCTCGCGGACTACGAATGTAAAATGGTGGACGCCGACCGCAGTAACGTGGTCACAGAGGAATTGAAAGACACATACTTTAAGAGGAAGCCGATTTAAGAAATGAATGCTGACGTGTGACAACCAGTTCCCACTTCGTGTAACGAGTGCAGTGCAGTGTTCACTATTCGCAAATCGTTGACTGTGTATGTCTTCAATACAAACATTTTACAAATAACGTTCAATGTTCATGAAACATCGTGCCTCGGTGAACCTATCGATACATCTGTGATAAAATGAAAGACTGCAGACGAATACCAGAATGTGACTCCACGGGTCTGACCTGGGCTCAACGAAGGTCCGGTAATGCTGATCGTCTACCTACCTACATGCCCAACCGGAGACAAAAGTGACAGCCTGCTCCCAACCGGCTCGTAGATAAAAGGCTAAGCTACACCGTACGCAAAACCCCAGGAGCATGGCATACCGATAAACATGCCAATTACAATATTATCTTTCTAGTTAAGTGACACATACATTTGCGTCAGAAAACGAGGTAGGAACAATATGCTGAAAAAGACACTGAATATTAGTGCAAAGCACGTGCTTAGACCGGGCTTTAAAGAAGCACGGTCCATCTTCACCATCCAGATCGGCAGTTGCTGAAACGTGAAGGACGTGTCAAATCGCCACTACATAGGTCCACTATCTGCGGGGCTCAGAGAGTGACCGAACAGATACGGCACGGGGAGCAGACAAAAACTGAGAGAAAAAGTCAAGGCGTCTGGACCACTGTCAACAGTTAGCCGGGCGCATATGGCTTTCATTTGAACGATATTATGTGCAGATCACTCTTTCATCGTAGCGATAGCTTCTGATGCTTATGAATCTGTGAACCATTCAAAATTAGGAACACCAGTGTTAGCTGTAAGCATGACCAAATGAGGCACGCAAGTGTTATCTGTGACTATGATCAAAGCCATTGAGCTCAGCTGCTAAGGCGCACATGCTTCTTTCTCTACATGAGGGCCACGCGAAAGGTCAACCACGATGAGCTTTATCGGTGTATATTTTCCCGATACACGGTGTGCCGAGCGACACGAACACATCTCACGTGACACGATGACACGACGCGGCGTGGCGCGTACATCACAACAGCCTGGCCGCCGCTCAGCACTAGCTACCCACCCGGGAATGTATGTAGGGTCGCCCGCCGGCCGAATACCACAGGCTCCCGGAGTCACCGGGACGCGGCGACAGCACGCAAATCATGGCAAGTATGGACCCTGAACCAAGACGTGAGCACTGCTGTGAGCTCTAAAAACAAAGTATAAATGCATTAAATTATACACAGCAGAGCAAACAAAACAATAACAAAATAACTGCGCCATGATTCCAGTCATATCACCTCAACCGAGCCACCCCACACCTTTCTCCCTTCCTCGACTTCAGCGCCATCTATCATGGAAAGCCCTTCAACTCTTCCCAGCCTTTCACTCGCTCCACCACGCTGACAAAGCTAACTCAATGAGAAGGCACGCCGCACGGGGCGGAAGGACAAAGACCGGCCGCCACTCCAAGGGAAGCTCACTGATAGCCTGAGAGGCCGAGCAACACGCACGGAATACCCAACCGCTGTCCCTGAATTAACATACGCAGACCCTGACCCTCACACACCACAGCTCAGACCAGACAGTTCAATGCACAATTCAACATCACACCTGCGCGGCTTGGGCACCGCCAAGTTCCACCTCACGTCAGCAGCACACATGACACAACCCTACCCGCCTCGGCTCAGCCAGCGACCCAGCTAGGCCCGAGGGTCGTTGTTCTGAATGTCCGAGAGTAACACCAGCTGGTCGGGGTCTAGCACACTCAGTTCACCCAGCACCGGAGGCGGTGTGAGCGCCGCCGCCTCCTCCGCTCTGCGCGCCTCCCGCCTCCGGCTGCTGCCGCCGCTGCTGCCGTTCTTGTGGAACAGATGCGAGAGGGATTTGGTGCGGTTGAGGAAGGCCAGTCTGGGTTTGTGCTTCTTTAGGGGACTAGTGCCGGTAGGTTGGTGGGTGTCGGTGGTCTCCTCCGTTGTCGCGGACGGCGCTCCCGCCGGCGGCTCCCGCGGCTCCGGGGGTGCTCCGTTGGCCGGCTCCGGTGCTCCCTCAGTGGGAGGAGCAGTGTCGGGAGCCGGGCTGCCCCGCACCAGACCTCCAGCGCCGTCATCACGCTCCTCAGTCAGCCGTCGGGGCAGCTCCGGCCGCTCGGGACGCACCGTGGCGCCGCCTTCCCGCGAGTGGTCGAAGCTGAGCCTCCTGTCTGGCCCGCTGGGCGGCGCTGCCGGCGGCGTTTGCCGTCTCTGCCGCAGCTGGTCAGCGTCGAGCGTGTATTGCCGGGTGAGCCGGTGGGCGGGCGGCGCGCGGCCCGGACTGGTGCCGGCCGCCGGGCCGATCACGGGCGCCGGCCCGGCTCCGGGCGTGCTGCCCGGACTGGGCGTGGCGGCGCCCGGGTCCGGACCCCGGTCACTGATACGGCGCGGTCGGATCAGCGGCGGCTCGTACTGGCAGCCCACGGAGAGGGTGCGCGGTCGCCGGTCCAGGTAGGGTTCGGTCTGACAGCAGCGGTCTGAGGAGTCGGCTCCGTGGTCCGCGGCTGCCACCGGCGTCACGGGTACCGGCACCGGCCTGACAGCAGCGATACAGAACATCAGACAGATCGACAAGGGAAGTGACGGGTACCTGCAATGCGGATACCAGTCATCCGATTGTGTGTGGAAGGTTTGAAAGAAGGGCTGGCACAGGATGAGACAAACAGACAGAAAGACGGAGTGACTGGCAAAAGAAAAGAACAAATCAGCCGAAAAACGAGTGGAAAGCGCTCGATGTTCCTAGTGATTTGGTGTGTTCTGCCCAAAGTCAAGGTAGGAGCCTCATCAGTGCCAGGACAGTAAGAAGTGAAAAAGTAAGCAGTAAGCTGTGAGGAAGCCTTCCATAAGCATTAAGCGCATTAAAAAATGCAGCGAAATCTACACACTATCTTTCCAGACAAACCAGACTCTAAGAGAGTCTGCGGTTATTGGCCACCAAACTACCTAACTAACAAGTTAGCATGGCTTCACCATCATATATCGCGACCCACGGTCCACAGGTAAGTATGACTATTTCAAGCGTGTTATTCACAACCTATGTTAAAAACACCAGTGTCGTAACTGCTCACGTCATTCCCAGCCAGAACACACGCTCACTCTTGTGATATCCACAGTTGCACATCACTCCAAAGCTATTCACATCCCAGTTCCCGACCGACGGTCAGACGATCTACAGAGTGACACAAAAAAAAAAAAACGGTCATCACCAAATTTCGAATAACTTCGGAAGTTTTATTCAGATCATCACCAAACTTCGGCCACTTTAGGTCACACCTATGTAGCATACATCCATCAAGTTTCAAGTCTTCACTACGAATACTTTTAGTACAGTGTGTGTTTTACTGACGCTCCACAATGTGCTCCAGGTGAGCACCACGGCGCTGCAGGGCGTACGCACACTCGTAAAGTAGTAAAGAGTAGTAAAGTAATCTTGGGCACACTTGCATCCGGCGGGCAAAGTTGTCGATAACCCGATGGCTGTGCACTTTACAGAGTGCAATGGCCTCTGGAGACAGTGCTCAGGGGGTGTGCTACCCTCTGAAACGTTATTCTTATCGGGTTATCGGCAACTTTGCCCGCCGGATGCAGGTGTGCCTACGCCCTGCAGCGCCGGGGCGCTCACCTGGAGCACATTGTGGAGCGTCCGTAAAACACACACTGTACTAAAAGTATTCGTAGTGAAGACTTGAAACTTGGTGGATGTCTGCTACATAGGTGTGACCTAAAGTGGCCGAAGTTTGGTGATGATCTGAATATAACTTCCGAAGTTATTCGAATTTTGGTGATGACCGCTTTTTTGTGTCACCCTGTACCACAAACAAGCTGATTGGCACCGTTCTGGATAGGTGGCTCATCTGGCGCCTTTGAGACTCTCAGTAACCAATCAGTTAGTAAGTCAATTAGTAATCACTCACGGCACGCCACCACATGCGGCCAGCCCGATGGTACAACTCTTACACTCCCATCTCACCCGGCACAGCACCCCCTGAGACGCCCACAGCCCGGCCCGACCGGTAGGGCGGTGCCGTCATGACCTCAGCGCCCAGGGAAGCTGGTAGACGGAAGCACGCTGCCAGCGGCCCCTGTCATCGGCACGGCGCGTCACCAACACACCCACACTGCGCATGCGGCCCCGCCAAGCCAGTCAGTCCGAGCGCGTCCAGCCCATGCGGCCCGTCCGTCCTCCACCCGACCAGCAGAGAAAGAGAAAGGTGAGAGAGCGACTCACTACTGGTGCGCGAGAGGAGCCGGGGCCGATGGAATTCTGAGGGGAGCGGAGTGTCAGTGGAATAGGCGTGACCCAATCGGAGACGAAAGACCAGAGTATACGGACATACAGACACACAAAGAGAGCCAGAAAAGAAAGATAGGAAAACACGATGAGGATAGTGGAAAACGATTCGCAGGACAGTGTCTGCGACGGTTGTTCCACACAGGCGGCGTTCAGTATCAGAAAAGGACACAGAAACCCTTCACATCCCACACTTCTATCTCGGATATCTGTGCCTCGCGGACATTCACCCTGAACGTATCGTTTATATCCTTCATGATTATTTGCTTGTACGCTTTGCCATCCCTATGATTGGTACCTATCACCGTTCATCCATTTCGCACCGTCATCACAGAGGAGTCCCCCTCAAATCCACATACACACCCTGATTTTGTTCCCACTTCAGAAGCACAAAGCCTGACAGATAACCATGTCCTTTTTCACCTACACCTCTTCACTTTCACCTACAGCACACATTGTCCCCTCCCCCGCCAGCAAAAGGAAGGGAGTCCCTACCAGCTTCACACACTTGTTGCACCACTCAACAACCTTCCTGCACCCCTCGAAGTCGACACCCTTTCTGCATCCCTCAACACCCTCAACCCCTACACCCGACGTTACCCTCTCTGCTGCACCCAGAATCACCGTCTTTGCACGTTTTTGTACCCTTCCACAATCCTCCCTTCACCCTCCCTTCACCCACCTCTGATGCTGAGGGCTCGAGTCCACCGACGAGGAGAAGCTCGTCTGTCGACTGAACGAGAGGGAGCGTTTGTGCAGCTCTCGTCGGTTAAACTCGATCTTGGCTATCTCGGTCTGCAGCCAGG